AGGGATTTGACTCTGCAGACCGTTCACATGCAGAAAGACCTTCATAACACACAAGGGGACGGGTGATAACCAGAAAAGCATGACATGGGACCTTTAAAATAATCGATCGATTTTTAAAATAAATATGTAATCTGTAATATTTGAGCTGTATCTCCCCTGTTCTCTGTGTTAATCTAAGCTAGGCTAAGCTAGGCTGTGTGCTCAGTGTGTTCCCCAAACTCCAACTACTCCCTTAAATCAACGATGTTTTTAAACTACTAAGAAGTCCTTCACCTCACTTTTTTAGTGAATATCCCCCAAAAGCAGACATTCCTCTGAGCTTTGTTGCAGAGGTTTTAACAGAAGTACAGGATATAAAGAGGCGGCCTGAAGCAAAGAGTGGGAAAACCCTGCTCGGAGAGGAAAGAGGATTTTTAGGGAAAAGTCTAAATGACGGCGGGGCCATGAATCCACTTTTCATGTCTCAAACAGAGGCTATAAAACACATCTATCACTTTGGATGTGACGTGTAAGTGAACAGAACTGTCTTGTTGCATATCCAGTAATGCTGCCAATTTGAAAAACTCCCACATTATGATTTCTCCTCATTAAGTCAATCTGGAGTCGTTCCTGCATCCCTCAGCAATATGAAACCCAAAAGCAGACATTTCATTTAGATGAAAACCTGCTCTCAGAGCAGCCTTCCTGACATATTTAAAGCGTGTTTGGCGAACATAATGAAATACTTGAAGGCTGTGTGTTGAGCAGCAGATAAAAGCCCGTTGTGTCCCGGTAGCTGAACGCAGAGAGGAAAGTTGTTGAGTCTGCCTGTGAGGTGAACTTCATGCACTTTGCTTGATCAGATTGTGCAGAGGCTTATATCAGCCTCCATGCATTCCTCATCTCATATTTACCCAACATGCAACTCCAGAACGCTCTTATCGCTTTGTGTTGCTTTTCTCTCACTTTCAGGGGCCTAAGCGTTGGGACTTTAGTATTCTGCCATTTACATGCACAGAAACATAGAGAACACACTACAGGGCATGGGACACACCCCAACAAGCACAATAGGGCCTCTTTAATAACACTTTCTACTGTACCAGCAATCTCCTGAAAAACGACCACATAAAAGACTTATTTGACAGAGTGGAGGAAAAGAGACAGCTTTTCAATACTCTAAAGAGGTGACGCGGTCGACTCAGAGGCGATTCATCCATTATGTCCGTCACTAAGGACTAAGGGAGGGGAACATATACACAGGGATAATGGAGAGAGATGGCACAAGTACACACATCATTTCCTCAAGTAGAAGTACAGATACTCGTGTTTAAAAATACTCTGGTGAAAGTAGAAGTACTGACTAAACTTCTTTCCTCAAGTCAAAGTAAAGAGGCTTTGAAATGTACTTCAGTAAAAAGTACCCATAACTAGCAGCTGTTTTAAAGAGTACCTGACCTCCCTTTATATTAATAGAACAATAATGTCATTGTTAGCTAATGAATGTTTCCATGCTGAACAACGGCAACATGACAACGTTTCCATTGGTCCCTCTTCTTTAGAGAAGACCAGGAAATGATGGATACACGGATCGTGTTCAAATCAATAGGCACGCAATGACTCTAAATAATAATGATCACGCCACCAAACACACATTCAGACTAAAGGAACCAGCCTGTTTGGAAAATGAGAGAAGTAGAAAGTACAGGTATTTGAGTTCAACATGTAAGAAGTAGAAAGTACAGGTATTTGAGTTCAACATGTAAGAAGTAGAAAGTACAGGTATTTGAGTTCAACATGTAAGAAGTAGAAAGTACAGGTATTTGGGTTCAAAATGTGAGAAGTCAAAGTAAAAAGTCATCAGAAAAATAAGTAGTGGAGTAAAGTACTGATACCAGAAACATGAACTTAAGTAAAGTAACAAAGTATTTGTACTCCACTGCTTCCAGCTCTGGTGACAGAGAGCAGAGGAATGGTTTCAGGAGCAGAACCATTCCTCCTGAGGTCTGTTTATATGTCAAAGAATAACAGGAGCGGGAATCAGATATTGTGTTTGGACGAGTTCCTCCGTCCTGAGCGCTGTTTGGATTTACTCTGAGCCTCACAGCTGTTTTGACTGAACCACACACACACACACATTTGGTTATCAGACAAATTAAAAGGTTGTTTTTTTACTGCTGAGTGATGCAAAACAAGAGCCTGTAACCAATCAGAAATATGTCTTACTGAGGGAAAACCCCTGTCTCCTTCGAGGCTCTGGAGATGATTTTCTGACTTGTTTTAAACTCCACAGAAGGTGTCGTTGAATACTCAGTTCTGATTGGACATTTCAGACGTGGTTAATACACAATAACACACTGTTGCTAAGGAGAGCAGACTGTTGCTAAGGAGGATTGACAGCAGCAGAAGACAGACAGACAGAAAGACACTAAAGGGAACTAAGCTAATATGCTTGTTGTGGCGTTTTAGTCTATTCTAAAATCAAATAAAACACTGTTCTTTGTTGGGGTTGGCTTCTACTTATGTCAGGAAATGCAGATTGGTTATTCCTTTGCAACACAAGGAATACAATGTGATCCTTTCACAGGAAACACAATAAGCTCTTCTTTAGTAACACTGTAATCCTGCTAGTAGTCCCCAAATGTAAGAAATGTACCAGTAATCTGATCTTTTTTATGTAACTGTTCCTTCCTTTTTTTGTATCCTAAATACCAGCTACTTGTAATCCATTACTCCCAAAGCCTAGGAACGACTACACATGAGTTATTTCTTTATATGTCTCCTATGATGAAGTTTTAAAGGCTTGTCTGGCACAAACCGCAGAACAAAAGCACACCACCGAGCCTCGTGTAAAAACTTCAACAGCTCTAAACTCCAGGAGAGACTGGAGACAAACCGCTCTGAGAACTTTTAACTGGAAGAGAAACCAGACGGATGAGTTTGGACTGGAAACTGGAGACATGCTGCCAACACACCCTGATAGACATGGATAAGGAGGTGTGTGTGTGTGTGTGTGTGTGTGTGTGTGTGTGTGTGTGTGTGTGTGTGTGTGTGTGTGTGTGTGTGTGTGTGTGTGTGTGTGTGTGTGTCTGTGTGTGTGTGAATGTCACAGCAGACGTGTTTGCCAGAGTGTGCAAAGCAATTTTCCACTTGAGTCTTGGCGGTGAAACCACAACACCCCGACCAGCGATTATCACAACTGGAGTCATGAAGAAATAAAACGTTGTGTCTCGCAGTATCAACAACGTGACATTTTCCCCTCGTGATTCACCGTCAATGGCAAAGATGAGGGGTTTAGAATTTACTAAAGAGGAGAGGAACATAGTGACATCACTACGATACACTCCCGCTGCTATTGGCTAGAGCTCCAACACATTATACTTGAACCAACTTCCTGTTTTAATCAGAGGGGCAGAGAGTCTCCAAACCTTTAAGAGTGCGTTGAGGACCTACATTTTTTAACAAAGCCTTCGGTTAGAGCTGGCGCTTTATGGTATTCATTTTTAAGGTAATTCATTTGAATGTTTTATGTATTTTTATTGTCTTTTGTTGTATCTTGTTTTCCACACACTTTCTTGTCTTCTCATTTCACTGTAACTCCATCATATAATGCGGTTGTTATTTGAATCTGTAACACTGAGAGAAAGCTGTTTTGTGATATTCAGCTATACAAATAGGTGTTTGATTAGATTAGATTTGATAGGCTAAGGGGCAGGACATCTGTAAACTGGTTGAAAGTGAAGCAAACACAACATATCCAATAATAACCACCAATGAGAGAAAACTTACCACCAGTTGCCACGGTGATTTCACGCAGGAAGTGTCCATAAAAGGGGAAATCGAAGGACAGGTTGACTCTCTGTGAGGGAGAAAAGAGGAAGAGGAAGAGGAGGATCAGAGTCTTCATCTTAAAAAACAACCAGAGGATTTAGATCAGAGGTGGAGAGGGAACACAGGATTTAAGGAGCAAACAGAGCTCATCTGTGCTGAACAGTAAATGACCTTGATGTCTGCACTAATGTGGATTAATGAGGACTCGTGCAATAATGGGATGTCTAATGGCAATAAATACACTTTTACATTATAAATCATTTTATGGGAGCCCATTTCTGTAAGACAAAAAGAGAGAAAGTTATTAAAAGAAAGAAAGGAAATGTGACTGAAAAGTTTATGAGCGTGTGGAAATACAGCTGCAGATAAATTATCTTTCTCTAAGGCATTTTAAAGCCTTTTTTATAGCGGGACAGAGTTTGGTTAAGTGTGGAAAGCTATTCTGCTGATGGCAATTAACACGTGATAAAGGAAAGCTATAAAATCATGAAGTTTTTCTAAATAAAACCAAATGTCTTTAACATGTCACCACTAATGATAGAGTACGCATTCATGCTTTAATGCTAAATCGTAGCGCTGCCAGCTAATGTGATGCAGAGAGACAGTACTAAGTAAACATATAAATGAGGTCTGAGGTTAACACAGGCTGAAGAGATTTGAAAATACGTCAGTAAATTCCCCACTGGTGGATTTAAACAAAGCGATTGCTAACAAGTGTCTAAATGAGACGACTAAACATCATCACGCCCAACATTAGCCACCTTTAGCTTAGCGGTGGTGACGTGAAGTCATGTGACCGTGCTGTAGTTCCTTTAAAGCCCAACATTAGCCACCTTTAGCTTAGCGGTGGTGACGTGAAGTCATGTGACCGTGCTGTAGTTCCTTTAAAGCCCAACATTAGCCACCTTTAGCTTAGCGGTGGTGACGTGAAGTCATGTGACCGTGCTGTAGTTCCTTTAAAGCCCAACATTAGCCTCCTTTAGCTTAGCGGTGGTGACGTGAAGTCATGTGACCGTGCTGTAGTTCCTTTAAAGCCCAACATTAGCCTCCTTTAGCTTAGCGGTGGTGACGTGAAGTCATGTGACCGTGCTGTAGTTCCTTTAAAGCCCAACATTAGCTTTTTACTTTAGAGAATGATAAAGTGTCCTCACAGAGAGTAGCTTCCTATCAGTGTAGCCTCACTACCTGAGTGGAGCTACAGCTCTGAATACTAATGATGGACTCTCTCCTCTCCAGCTATTGTTCCCCTGCTGTCTTTCTCTTTCTTTAAAGCCTGCCATGCTGCTCTGTCTCTGCGGTCACTTTACTGTGACCTCATCAGTATGCGCCTCACACAGGTCACCTTTTTCTGCAGAGGAGGATTGAGGAGAGCTTTAAGACTTCACTGAGTTTCAACAGTTTAAATCCTTATAGAGGAAATCTTTCTCAACCGTGTTGCCCTGGGTTTACTGCTAGAGAAACAAACTGCATTATATTATATATTTCTGCTGACTTTTGTTTTACCAACTGCAATATTATAGCACTCTAGGTACACATATATACATAAAGCACTATTTTCCCTATC